GTTGTATAATCCCAGGAAGACCAAAGGGAAGTCTCCCAAGTTGTCTTCACCATGGGAAGGCCCATATGACATAGTGGATTGTCTCTCAGACGTGACTTTCTGGATAAAATGTGGTCGGCAAGGTAAGCCAAAGGTGGTGCATGCCAACAGGCTTTGGCGTTATCACAGTCCAGGACATTTCAGTTGGGATAAAGTGAACAACAGAACAAATGAAGACGTGTCACCTGAAAACGCCACTGTCGAAGAAGAAACTCGGCTTGGTTTTGAGAAGGGAAACAGCAAAGCCCTTGATGAAGTTACTACCACTGATGTGACTGTTACCAATGATAGGACGTTTCCTGATGAAGCAGAAGCCAACGAGATGGAGACCAGTACGGAAGAAGATACGTCCCGTAAATTAAGAGACTTTGTTGAATTTTAATTTTGTGTCTGTAAATTCTGTACATTTAATTAAGTTATTGTTAATTGTTTATTGGTTTAATGTAAGTGGCTATTGTTTGGAATGAATAATACTAAGGAAAGGGCAGTGTTACGACAGTGGAGGTCATGTGACGCTAGTAACACGTCATATGCTTCTAGAACGTTCATGAAACCTCGAGAGGCTACTAGATATGCGGTAGTCTTGTATATAAGCTGCCAAGAACTGACAGCAACAATGGTAATTGAACTGCGAACAGAGAGAGACATATTATTGAGTCGAGCATGTGAGACGTTCGTTGTGAATTATAGCGTTTGTTATAGCGTGACTGTGGAAATTAAGTGTATTGCAAAATTGTATTTAGAAAGAATAAACCAGTTTTATTTAAGAAAGGACTTGTATCGCTAAAGTTTCTTCGGAAAGAAATTATACAAAAAATTAACTAACAACGGAGGCATAACAATACCTTTGAGCATGTCATTTCTGGGAAGTGTACTCTACTTCTACATCCTTGCTCTTCTTGTTATCCATTGGACATTTTCCCATTTCTTCCCTTTTCTCCTGGATCAGTTGGTCATAATCCACTCAGACAATTCCACAGTCATTTCTTATTTCAGCCATCTTTGCTTCCATCCATATTACCTGCTATTTGGGCTTATTTCCATCAGGTTTATCTCATGGCTAGTCATGTGCCTGGGACTCTGAACTTGTTAGTTGTTTGCCTCTCTCTCGGCCAAACAGGGTTTTAACCATGGAATGGTCTCTCAAACTTCAGGTTTTTCAATGAATTTGCTCTACATTTGGCTGGTCTCATCGTTTTCTGTCTGCTTGTCCTCCTCCTTGTTTTCTTCCTTGATACTTGACACTCCTTATTGGGTCCTATTTGTGGTGCCTATTTAGCCAGCACAGCCCTGATTTCCTCTACTCCATGAAATGACATCCTGACCCCCCTCTTTCTCTGCCCCATTCCTACTCTCTTACTCCCACCATGTCTCTCTGTTTCTCCCAGGAATGTTGTCTCTTCCTATTCATATGTAGGATTTGTCTGATCTATTAATAGCAAGACTGGACTCTCCGATTGTTTAACCCTTTTCTTCTCCCATTCCTGTATTCTGTCAATTCTGTCTACCTATCAACTACATTGTTGTTGTTTTTTATGCTAATCCATCTGCATCTCCCTTACTCCAGGCCATCCTACTATGGCCCACCCTTTGGCCTATTTCACATGTCTTGACAATGGATTGCTTGTTTCCCTTATTGATGGTTTTCGGGCAGCTTTACCTCTTACATTTTACCTTTTTCATTGCTGTCTGGTTTCTCCTGTCCTCGTCACTTTGTTTCAATCCTCCTCCTTCATTGACCCTCTCATCCTACTCCCATATCTGACTGGGATTATAATGTGGTTTTACATACTCTTCAACGATCTCCATTCAAGCCATGTTCATTTTTCCATCTTTCTCTAAAAACATATTTTCTTTTCCTTTCTTGTCTATAGCCACTGTCATTTGGATGTAAAACCCATCCATACTTCCCACACTCTCTTTTACCATACTTCCTTCTTCCTCTGTTCAGACTAGATCTTTCTTCCTCACACTTCAGTTGCTTGGGAGTGTGATTGTTCTTTCATATTTTGTCATATCAGATTTTTCAACTGTCTCACTCTTTTGCATCTAATTTTCACCAAATCTTGGACAAGATCTTTTATAGTGGCATGTGGATGAACCCTCACACATCCATGTCCTTTTATAATTATCATCTGTTTGTTTTGTCTCCTGCAAGATTATGGCTCCCTCTAGTCATGGTTTTTCCATATAAATACATATCATCTTTGGTATCTATTTTTCAGTGCCCTTTCCCCTTTATTGGATCACACCAAGTGGCTGGTGTTGCCTCCCAGGGTATGCTTCTTTCCCAAAATCCACATGAGGCTAGGGGTAACAGAAACCCCTCAAACCATATACCGTGGCTTTGCCAGTGCCCACTATTGAGATAAGGTGTTCCACAAGACCACTAGAAGTATCATCATGGTATTCACACTATTCAGTTGACTGATCCAGACCACATCATTCCATGGACTTGATGGCTTGTTTGCTCTTCTTTTCTTGAGCTCTAGCGGTGACTGCAGGTGCTTCATCCATCTTCCTTCTGTCTGGTTTCTCCAAACTTCTTTGACCTGGTACATTTCTAATCATCAAGTCATAGA